AAAGAAAAACTCAAAAAAAAATTTTTTTTTTTTTTCTCTTCAATAGGGTTACGGCATAAAAAAAAAAAAGAAGAAAAAGAAAAAAAAGCAGGAAAATGCCTTAAAGAATTGACGTGTTGCAAAGAATCCCTTCAGAATCATGAGTTACTGACACTTAAAGTTGATTGATTCTCACGCTAAACTAAATAGAAATGATTTTCAGATAATTTTTTTTTTATTTTTTGGTATAATTACACCTATCGTTATTAATTTTTTTAATTTATATAAGATTTATAATATTAAATATATTTATTTATTTAATAATATATAAAAAGTATATTAAACAATAATATAAAAATATTACCCTGTAGCACCACCCCTAAACTAAATTAGAAAAACCCAGAGAATCCAAGTTTTCCTCTATCTTCCGTCCGAACATATAGGAACACAAAGCAATCAAGGATAGCTTAGGTTATGAAACGTTATCGCATTTTCTCACATTGTCAAGGTAAAATTCCTATTTTATTCATTCTTTCTTTGAATATTGTGCAGAGTATGTGCTTTCCAATTTTTGTCCATTTGTTTTAATTCTTTTCCTTTTCCAATCTTGTTATTTAAATTCTTTTCCTTTTTAGAATTCTAGGTTGTTTGAATTTTTAAACTTGGATTTGGCTAAATCTAAGGGGTGAAAAAAAAAAAGGTTTTGAGTTTTGTTTTTAGACAGACTGGTCCCAACTGGCTAGCAGCCTACGTGTCCCTTTTTTTTTTCTCTTCTCATCTTTTATATATGTTATCATCCACGTCATCATCAATGCTATTTTTTTAACCACATCAGTAAGAAAGTAAGGCCCACAAACGAATTCCGTTAACCGAGTCAATATGCACATTCACTTAATCCTTTATTAGTAAAATTACAAAAGTGATATTCTTAATTAGAAACTTTTGAAATATGATCATCCTTATTAATAACAATAAAAAATTATATCCTCAATTAGGAAATTTTAAAAAAGTTGTATCCTTATTTTTACCAAATCTCGTAGTATCAATTTGCCCAAAAATCATAGCTCACTTCCATGCTATAAACTGAGCACCAAAAACAGATACTGCAAAACAGCCATTAGCCATGGAAATGTTTAACTTCAACTCTTTTACACTTAACTTTCCAGCTTCAATTTTTTCCCTAAAGAATGCAAACATCACCTCTTTCATCCCTTTATTGATTGGCCTTTTTTGCTCTCTGATTTTCCTTTCAAAGTTGTTGCAAATTCAATTCAACGAAAAACCAAATCAATCTCCTCTTCCACCTGGCCCTAAACCCTGGCCGCTTATTGGAAACCTACCAGAGATGATCCAAAAGAAGCCAACATTTCTTTGGATACACAATCTCATGCAAGAAATGAATACTGATATCGCCTGTATTCGTATAGGAAAGAACAATGTGATTACTGTCACCTGTCCTGAGATTGGGCGCCAATTCTTACGAAAACAAGATGCGGTCTTTGCTTCCAGACCTATCTGCATGTCCGCAGAGGTGATGTCTAAACATTTTTCTTCATTTGGTGTTCAACCTTTGGGAGATAGCTGGAAGGATATGAGGAAAGTGATCAGTAGCCACGTGCTTTCTCCCGCAAAACATCAATGGCTTACTGGGAAAAGAGAGGAAGAAGCTGATAATTACCTCGTGCATTACCTGTATAAGCAATGTGGTGGCTCTAATAATACTGGCTTGGTCAAGGTCAGAAAGATCGCGCAACACTACTGTGGTAACCTTCTAAGGAAGATTATTTTTAACAGGAGGTATTTTGGAGAAGGGAAGGAAGATGGAGGAGCGGGGGTAGAGGAGGAGGAGCATGTAAATTCGCTTTTCAAGATTCTTTCTTGCATTTATGCCTTCTCCGTTTCTGATTATGTGCCATGGTTGAGGAGATTTGACATAGATGATCAGGAGAAGCTTATGAGGGAAGGTGTCAAAACTGTCGGAAAATATCATGATCCCATCATAGAAGAAAGGATTCAACAGTGGAAAATCGGCACGAAGACTGAAGAAGAAGACTTGCTTGATGTCTTCATTAATCTGAAAGATGCAGATGGCAATGCATTCCTCTCAATGGATGGAATTAAAGCACAAATCACTGTAAGTTGTCTTCTAAACTTTTCTCATTTTCTTCCTAAAATGAAGACAGTATATTAGGCTAATTAAACCCCCTTATTTTCCCCTTAGACTTTTTTTCTTTCTATGGTCAACACCCTAATTTTCCTCCCAATCAACACCCTCTGTAATTCATAAATAGAAAAAATCCTAGAAGTGCAAAGTTGGATCACATGCCAGTCACATGCACGTTTAATTGCCACTGAACACATGGCAACCACATCATCAAAGTATAGTCATATCTAGACTTGGTAATTTTTTACCCAACCCGCTAACTCATTTATTACTTGTTCGTTTAAAACGGGTTAAACGAACTCATCAAATTAACGGTTTGACCTGTTTACCATTTAAAAATTTTAAAAATTTTAATTTATTATTTATTTATTTTGTTTTCCTATTCTCAATTCCACTTAAACCTCTAATAATTGATTAATTTTCCCTAATTAGCTAATTGATTCTCTTAGCAAAAATAAGTGTGTGGTGTTAGCGTTGTTTTTCGAAGGGAAGTGAAGAAGGCAATTCTAAAGAACTATAAATATGTTTTATTAAATTAATGGGGGGGAAAATCTTTTTATAAGATGTTGAATTTCATTTTTAAATCTTCTGAATAATTTTTTTTTAGGACCCTGATTGGTGCACACCCGGATCCAACACCCGGGTGTGCACCCCCATATAAAAAAAAAAATTTGACCGGGTGGGTGATGGGGCATTTTTTTTTTTCAAAGGGGAGTGTGCACACCCGGGTGATGACCCGGGTGTGCACATATCATTTTCCTTTTTTTTATGATAATAGCTACAAATTATAAAGAAAAAAGGAAAAAAAATTCAATTAGGTCAACCCGCAAGTTGACCCGTGACTTGCGATGAGCGGGTTAGGGTTAGTTTTCATTGACTCGTGACTTGTTTTAACCCAAACCCATTTTGACCGATGACCCGTTCTGATCCGACCCTAACCCAATCCAACCCAACTCACCCATTTGCCAGGTCTAGCCATGTCATTATAAAAAAAAAAGGGGGACGATGCTATCGGAATAATCTTTTTATACCACCTTTTAATATAACATCTACATGTTATTAAATAAGTAAATGCATTTAATATCATGGGTCTCACATGAAAAAAAGAATCAATCATTCAAATGACAAGTCAGGTTGTACCAAAAGATGGTACAAAAAAATTGCCCCAAAATCATTTCCAAAAAAGAGAAATGCTATTGGGACAATCATTTTGTCCTATCTTTTTGTATAATCTGACATGTCATTAAAATAATTGATTCTTTTAATTCATGTGAAACTCGTGATATTAAATGCATCAACTCATTTAATAACATGTGAAAATTATAAAAAAAAATAAAACAAAAAGGTTGTTCCTATAGCACCACCCTCCAAAAAAAAGTCCACATTATATGAAAGAGGTGGTGCAATTGGGACAACTTTTTTGTCCCACCTTTTTATATAATTTTTACATATCATTAAACAAGTTGATGCATTTAATATCATGGATCTCACATGAATTAAAAAAATCAATCATTTTAATGACACATCATATTATACAAAAATATAAAACAAAAAAGTTAAACAAAAAGATTATCCCAATAGCATTTCTTTAGATGAAAGTAGCCACATCATGTCCACCTTAACACCCTTGTGCCACGTATTGCCTCAGTTAATGGAATTTAATGTGCATGTGACTGGCATGTGATCAGACACTACACTTTTGGGTTTTTTGCAGTTTATGAATTATAGAGTGTTGATTGATAGGAAAATTAATTTAGGGTGTTGATTGTGGAAAGAAAAAAAAGTCTAGGGGCAAACAAGGGGTGTGGCCCAATATATTAACCTAAAATGTAAAATGTGCTGCCAATTGAATCAATTAATAAAAAGTCAGAAAACATTTATCACTCCTTAATTATGCAATTGACGTGCAGAGTCTTAGAATATTTTTCGTTTTCTATTCCTTCATTACATATCTTTTTCCTACAAAACCCTGCAAATTAATTAATTCAAAATTTTCAAATTACATTCTTAGGCTGTCACAAGGATGAATTTAAATTCCGACAAGGTTTTAAATCTAGTTATACATAATTTGAGCCAAAGAAAAAAAAAATTCATCTTAATTTGCAGGAATTTATGATTGGAGCAATAGATAACCCATCAAATGCCATAGAATGGACACTGGCAGAGATGTTGAATCAACCTGAGATTATGGCGAAAGCAGTGGAAGAATTGGACAAGGTAGTTGGGAAAGACAGATTGGTCCAAGAACATGATATTCCAAAGCTAAATTTCATTAAGGCGTGTGCAAGAGAAGCCTTCCGGCTCCATCCTCTCTCGCCATTCAATATCCCCCATTTATCTGTTTCCGATACAACAGTTGCTGGCTACTTTATTCCAAAGGGCAGCAGAGTTTTGCTCAGTCGTATCGCGCTAGGTCGAAACCCTAAATCTTGGGACGAGCCGCTAAAATATAAGCCTGAGCGTCATCTCAACAGTGATGGGTCCGAGGTGGTTCTCACGGAACCGGAGTTGAGATTCATATCATTTAGTGCAGGGAGGCGTGGATGTCCCGGGGTGGCACTAGGGACTTCAATGACCGTGATGCTATTTGCTAGGCTTCTGCATGGATTTAGCTGGAGCTTGCCACCAGATCAAGACAAAGTTGATCTTAACATCGCCGGCGACCAACTCTTCCTTGCCAAACCGCTGGTTGCTCTTGCAAAACCGCGTCTGCCAGAAAAGTTGTATTCTGTCAAATAGATGAAATGATTTCGTGAATAAATTTTGGAGGTCAGCAGCAGAGCTTCCGAAAGTTTAAAACTAATTAAGTTGTTGCAACTTTGCTTGTTTTTGCCACTGGACCATACCGGTGATTGGTAAGGAAACAATATTTCGTTAATTAATTTTCCAATACTAGCACGAATAATCTCCATTTTAGCAAAATTTGTTGAAGCGACTGCGAATAAACATTAAAATAATAAATGCACATACTACTACTAGCATTATTATACAATACCACGGAACTGAACTTCATACCATGCATATATAAAGAGGGATTAGCTTTAGACTAGTACTCCTGTCCCATCTTTAATTATTCTGATTTAGGTATATTGAAAAGTTGTTTTTTTGATTAAATTTGAACCCTAACCCTAACCTAAATTAAAGTTTTATATTTAGTAAGCATATATTGCCAATCGTTATTCAATCAATATACTCCAGCTCCAATTAAAATTAATTGCAGAATCCATTACTTAGATATATAAGAGTAATTCTAATCAGACTAAATATAAATTGATTAAATTCTCAATTTTCAGCCGTTATTTTCACAATTAGTGTTGCTGCATTTAGTTTGGTTTGCAAAAAAATGACTTCTTTTTTAAAAAAAAAAAATTATATTTTTCTAAAATTTATTTTCTGATATTTGAAATTTAAAACATTTTGAAATTTTACTTATAAAGTTTTATAAATATAAATTATCAAATTTTTTAAACAAATAGTACAAAACAATAGTGTTATGTTTTTTAATATATCATTAGAAAAAATACAGCATCATAAAGAGGAGAAATTAACTAACACGGAAGTTTTACACATAATCACATTTATATAAAATTTCAATTATTCATTTATCTAATTAAAATATTAAGATTTATTTACATTTATTAAAAATAATTAATTTTTTACTTAAAAAATAATTAATTTTTTACTTAAAAAATTATAATAAATCTCAACCATTAATAGTAAAAAAAATTATTAAAATTTTATATAAATATAATGTGTAAATTTTATATTTAAATAAATTACTCCTCTATTATAAATGAATCTTGGTTAATTCGTTAAATTTGAAAATTAACAACTCAGATTTATATAAGATGTGCTGGCAAAAAACCAAAGATTTGTATAAGACGTGGATATGACTTGAATGTAAATATAGTATAAGTATTTGAAGAAAAATTCTATTTGCATGGTACAGTTAGCACTTGCCCTTCATTGGCCCAAGAGTATTTTTTATTTTGATTATTATTTTTTTTTATTTTTTATTTTTTTTAAGGATGAGGTAGACAAAAAAGAAAGAGGTGCATGCATGCATTCGGTCCCACCCCAAGTCCATTAAACACTTTCTCACATGGTTTGTTGAAACTGAAATTGCCGATTAAGAAAAATGGTTGAAATTGAAATACCTGCATTGTAATGTTGGCTGGGCTCACATGATGGGTGACTTTGTCGCGGCGGAGACTGGACACTAAAACTCAAAATCGCGGCGAAGATTTAAAAGAACCGCTACGATGCTGCTGGTGGGGCAAAAGCAAGCACACTTTACAACGCGAGGACCACGTTTTAGGCAAATCTCCCCTGGCAAGGGCCACGTGTATTCTGCGTTGAACCCCTCGAGACTCGTTCCTCCAATCGGATTCTACCTCATCGGTTGCATGTAATACAAGACAGATTGTTCCGACGCGTGGGAAAGACTGCCAAAACTAACCGACCGGAGGAAGGGGAAAGGGTAGTATGGTCATTTCAATTGCAGAACCACAAACGACCAAACCAATGGTGATAGGTGTAGGCACGCATGGCCGCCAACGGCACACGCGTTGGTGAGAGGTGGTGTCTTTGATTGGTGAGCGGAGATATGTGTTCGCATGCATGGACCCACCGCCGCTACAAACCCCACATGTCGCCATCTCTAAGCCCCTCAAACACGTACCCACCGTACACTTCCGCGTGTCAATTTTTCCTTTATCCTTGTTTTATGTTGCCTACCCGTCATTGGCTAATTCTTGGGTCTTTAAAACACATCCCCTGGAGACTCGATTCAACCACACCTTGTAGTTCTAAAACCTTTCAGTTTCTCTTCACCGTTTTCTGCACAACGCAGAAAGGAAACTGAAGTGGGAGCATTCAACCATGATTAAGACGCTGCATCCTTACTCAAACACGGCCAAGACGGCTGAAATTATGTCCCGCTACCGGCCGATTGCGCCCAAGCCGGAGGTTCCTGCTAATCAGATGAATGAGAGCTCTTCCATGTCTCAGAAAATCAGGCAATCTCCTTATCTGAGGAATCTCTGGCCCCAGCTTCAAGCCAGGCCTACTAGGACTAGAAAGAGAGGTAGGGCTGCTTTATCACCACCCTCGCTCAAGAGGCCGAGGACCCAAGTCTTCGGGCTTTCTTCACCAAGCCCTGTGGTGTCGCCGGCTAAAAATCTCTCCTTGCAAGGTTTTTCTCACGGGCTTCCTCAGCTTTCCGTCTCTGCCCCGAACCTTGCAGCGGCCGTGACCAGTGGTGGCTTAGACAGTCCTAGAGTATCGTCAAATTTGGTGACGCTTCCCCTTCTTCCATGTTCGCCAGTTGCTCCTGTTGTTACCAATAAAGTGACAGCTCCTGAGCTCAAATGCTTGGAGCCGTCTAGAGGAGAAAACGTGATAGATTTGAACAGGGTGGTGGAGGTGCCTGAAGAGAAGGATCTGTTGCTGCAACTGCAAGGTCCTACACCATGTAGCAGCGTTATAGCACCACAGCCGGTTCGACCCGTGGGCTCTACTATTAGCGTTGGGTGCATCAAAGAGGACCTGAGTCTGACCCCACCAGTGCAAGTTCCTAAAAGACCAGAGGAGGTGGAAGAGGAGGTCGAGTCCGAGCCCTTACCAGCAGTGATATCTGACTCGAACAACAAGGTGAGGCTGGCAAATTCAGCTTACAAGGAGATGGTGGGACAGCCAGAATGCCCCTGGCTCGATTCTATGGTGACAGCTGATAAAAAATTGAGAGGAGGGCACCCATGCAAGAGGATCTGTGGGGAGGTAATGCTCCATCTTCCTGATTCCAGAGTACCTGTTACATCAAATGGGTTTAAATGCTGGGTGAGAATAGAGTGGGGAAGTGAGGGGAAGAAGAATTCAATCAATACTTTCTGTGATGTAATCAAATTATCTTGTCTGTCCAAGGATTACCTGTTCACATGGAGGTTTCATACACAAAGCAGGGAAGCTTCTCTGTCCGGCTGCAATGCTGAAATTTAAATTGTACATCTTAGCTACTACTATGCCTTCCTTTTTCGGGGAAGACCAAAGAGGGAGGCAGAGTTAGGAGTTAGTGTTAATACATCTTATCTCCCATGTATAGATCAGATATAAGAGTATAGTTCTTAGTCAGTTCTTTTATCTATCAGGCTAGCTGTCTACTATGTTCCTGTTTTGAGTACTAGGACAAAAGTGTTACTTGAAATATGCAATGCTAGAGAATATATGTAGTATCCTAGAATTTCATGAAAACCAAAATGAAAAACAATCCTTGTTAGTATTTTCTTTATTGCTAAAACCAATAACTCAAATGTAAGTACATACAAAATTGTCAAAAAAAACGTAAGGTACATAATATGTCTTGTAATGAACAAAGGCAATTATGATACAAACATATATGACTATGATAAAGCTAAGAGCCACAGTATTTCTTACAACAAGTATTATAAGGAGAGGTGCAAAAGATATTAGTATATTACAAACCATGTCACTGTCAGGCGTTGATTAATTTAATCGTCCTCATACTTCGAGGGCCCTTTCACTTGAAGTTGTCAGTATAACACCTGCGCTGTAACACAAAGGAAGTCAAACCCTTGTTAATTCCTCTCAGAACAAAAAGATAGTATAAGAAAATTAGAGAATCAGCAGATATTAAGACGCCCCTTTCCAAAAAAAAAGTGTAAGATTAAACCTGTATCTTACTAAAACCTAGTATTCCTTGGTCTTAGGAATGAAAAGGAAAGGGAAAATAAGTGGACGGCAAAGTGGTTTTATAACATGAGAATCATCAGGAAATCCCTGCTTAGTAGTCTTTACGAAATCTTTCATCAACCAAAGAAGAGATGAATGAAATTATGGTAACAGATTACTATGTACCTTCTGTTCCTGAAAAGAGGAAAGAAAGTAAAGAAAAAATGTAAATGAAACTCAAATCTTGTGAAGGCGAATGTGCTTCTTAACCTGCATGAAAGGGAGAAAAAAAAAAAATATATATATATATATATATATATAAGAAATATCGCTATGGCATCCAACAAACGACTGTAATTTAGCAGTAGATTGAACTTGATGTCCAAATGGTTGATATTCACAAAGAAAGGTCACTGGTTAACACTTAAAAGGATACATGGGAGTTTATATGCTTTTAAACTTGGACAAAAAAGGAAGGAAGGAAGGGGAGGGAATCCCATTCCTACTGGAGAGCATCCTGTCACGCTCCTTTAGGCTTTAATCTCTAAACAGAAAATATAAAGGTAGATGCCAATAAATTACCACATCTTAACAGAGAACAGTACAATAGTCTGTTTACTCAAGATTTACATTCTCTTCCCTCTAAAATTAAGAAATAGAGATTAGAAGACAAGCAAATTCACTCATATTCATGCACAATTTTTGGCAGACAGAACTTAAAGGCAGAACGTACCAAGCACATGCAGTATATTTCCAAAGCAAATGCTTTTGCAGCTTCTTCGCTGTGAAAGTTTGAAACTCCAGTGCTACATCACCAGGCATAAGGGTCTCCTGTTGATGTCCAGAAAAAAAAAAATCAACATCTCTAGTATCATAAAGTACCAATAGAGCCACTTAAACACGACTTTATTAATTGATAAAAAAATAAAATATAAAATAAAAAGACTATAAAGACTTAGTAAGACTCATCCATTTTCATTTTTTAATTATTATTAAATTTTTTTTAGCAAGGGCAATTTGAAAGAAAGAAAAATGTCATTCATAAGATTTGAACACACAACTTACGAGAGGTGATCATACTTGACCAACGGTCTTGGCCACTAAACTAAGGGCGTGGGGATCTTCATGTAGTAATTAGTACTATCGTAATAAAGTAACATGACCTACAAAACTCAAGTACAATTTAACATAGCATTTTTTTTTTTTGGGTGAAATTTAACATAGCATTTACAGAGTTGCATTTTTCATTCCAGACTGCATAGAAAAGTGCAATTCAGGCCATAAATTTATCAAAGACCGTAAATGGGTACTTTTGGTAATTCTGATGCCCCGAGCGCCAAATTGCATTTTTAATAGACAATCCTTTCTGCAAAACAAGATTCTATAGTATTTAAATAAACAACCTTTTTTAGTAATTATTTAAATAAACCAATTGTTCAATAAACAATTATTCTTTTAATTCACAGGTGAATCAATGAATGGTTCACGTTAAGGCCTTGAATTAACTTTATATTCTTAATTGAGTCTTTGAACCCTTTTTAACGCAAATAAGACCCTAAACCCCAGGATCTGTGCAACTTTGCACTCTTCTCAATGGCAGACTGTAAAGTTGCAAAAAAAAAAAGGCACAGAATAGAGCAAAATTGTACAGATCTTAGGGTTCAGGGACTTATCTACTTTAAAAAAAAAAAAAAAATCCAAGGCTTAATTAAGAATATGAGTTCAGCGGCTTAACATGGGGTTTTGCCTAAATCAATATCAAAGGCTCAGTCAATCATACTCAGTCATATTAACCAAAGCATAAACTTGAATCTGTAAATAAACCTACTCCTCTGATCGTTAATAAGTATGCTTATTATAACAGAAAAAAAATGGGATAACCTTCGTCGGAAGCGTTATTCAGGGATTCCGGAGACCATTCCCCACCTCACTCGGCTTCACTTAGCATCTGTAGACAACCGTCTGGTCCATCTCGTCACGGAAATCAGAGCTTATCAATGAGGTCGAGGTAGATTCTTACGAAATCTTTGCAGTAAACTCGCCTTCTTTCTCTTAATTAGGTTCTCCATTTTTCCCGCTCTTCTCAAGAGGAAGAGAGTCAAAAGATCTCAATCTGAGGGAACCCTAAGAAATTGCCAAATTGGCGTTTGTTTGGATGGCACCAGAACTTTTCGCGCTTTCTGTTACGTCCCATCTGGCCTCTAGGCCCTTAATAGTTTGAATTCTTGGGCCTGATTCTCCGCCCATCAAACACTTGGGAAGCCCAATTTCCGTCTGTGGAGTTCCCGAAACGCGGCGGAAGTATTCAAAACAACAGCTTTTGCTTTGGGAGGTCAGATGGGCTTATTCCAACACTGGCTGTATAAATTTCTTGGTTTTTCTGTTGCCTGTTTTGTCTGTTTAGCAAAAGATAATGCCATTTGATCTTCTTGGTTTGTATCGAGTTGGGACTCTCGGCTATGATCACTTCTCGTTCACCACGTCTTTTTTGTCGTTAGATAACTCTGAATTTTGATGGCCCCACCTTTAATCCTACAATCTTCGATTTCTTTTTCTCTGTTTGTTTGGGAGATCGATCCAGTTCATCAATGGCAGCCAACGACAAAGATTCAAATTCAACTTGGTTCAACTGGAATTAGCCTGCTCTAATTTGAGAACGCTGATGGAAATGTGGAAACTGTTGAAGAAGCCCTTGGAAAGATGTACAAAAATTTTGATTTGATAGATAAAAATCTCTCTACAACAGCAATAAGAGTAATACCTTTACAGTCCATGGCTATGGCGGTGAAAGCTCTGGAGACCAGGATCAACAGAACCGTCACACGGTGAGCCGGTGATTCAGAAGCTTCAGGAGGTGTAGTTCTTGAGTAGGACTAAGGCAACGGATCAGTATAGAACGCATAGGTTGAAAGAGACTCTTATCACACTCAAAGCTCTGTATGAAACAGGGGTTGATGCGATGAGGTTCGACGGATTGCTCGACGAGGCTCTGCTTAATCTGCAGGATGAATTTGAGAGTATATTGCAGCAGATAAAGCATCAGAATATAGGAGAGGCTACTAAGGAAGAACCAGAAATAGTGGTTCACGATCACGGTACAGAAATAGAAGTCAAGGTTCTACAGCGAATTTCAGAAGCCCTTGCCTCCAATGATTGCTTGGATACATGCATAGACATCTTCGTCAAGGAAAGATTTAAATTAATTTCTTATATATATCAAACAAAGAAAGTTCAGATTTATTCAGAATTTTTATTAACAGATGAGATACAGAAGAGTCGCAAAAGCATTGATGCGGTGGAATCCGGATTATCTGAAAACATACACCCCTGAAGAGATTGATAAAATGGAATGGGAGAACCTGGAAACGGCGATTTCTCTCTAAATTCAGCATTTTGAACTTGCTGTTAAAACCGTGCTTGTCTTGGAGAAGAAGCTCTGCAACCAAGTCTTAGGACGCATTATGGACGGACTTGTTTGGCTGGAATCGCCGTTTTCTTTTGATTTGGTGAAGGCGTCGCGAGGAGCCTCAGAAGCTGTTCAAGCTATTAGACTTGTTCGATTCCTTGGAAAAGCTGAAACCTGAATTCTCTAAGGTTTTTGAAGGCGAAGCAGGGGAAGACATCAGTCCCCGATTCAGGGAACCAGAGAAGCTTCTCGTCCACGCTTCCAGCAAGGTGTTTTGGGAATATGAATTCCAAATCGAAGGCAATTCCGATCGTTTCCCTCCGCCACAAGACGGTCCAGTCCCGAAGCTTGTAAGATACGCCATTAATTACCTCAAGTACCTCACAATGGATACCTACAGCGATCCGATGGCGAAAGTCTTCCGAACAGAACAAATCTGGAAGGCCGGAAAGCTATCGAAACCGGAAACCTATGAGAATTTACTCAAGGACGCCATGACTAATATCGTGGAAGTTCTCCAGAGGAACGTCGAATCTAAGAGATCACGCAACAAAAATAAAGTTCTCTCTCACGTTTTTGCTATGAACACATACTGGTACATTTACATGAGAAGCAGAAATTCAGAACTCGGGAAGCTTCTAGGAGATCAATACATAAAGAAGAAATGCAAGAACGTAGCAGAGGAATCGGCTTTCATGTACCAAATGCAAGCCTGGGGGCCTCTGGTGAGGTTGATAGAGGAAGAAGATGAAGAACTGGAGAGGCAGAACAAGGTGGCTACGGTTGCGACCGTGAGTGATAACTTTAAAGAATGGAAAATGTTTATTCATTTTCTGAACTCATTTTCTACATCTCGGTAAAGGCAAATGTATATATATACAAAAACAAGAAATTTTGTGTGAAACCACTTGGAGAAATTGCAGCTAGTACTAGCTTGCATTAATGAAGTTGTAGACAATTGTGCATGGCAAAGAGATGGCAGATCAAGGCAGTAGATAGTTGAGTGAAGACTTGACCTTGCAGGGAGTTGCAGTATGCATTTTTTTCTAGTGCATTTATTAGTATGTCTGCATATATCAATATTATAACAGTGAGAACTAAACTTGGCGCTTTTTTCAAGTGTTTGGAGGAGATTTCGCAGTGGCATAGGGCGTCTTACATCATTCCTGATGTGAATTAGAGGAAGCAAATCAGAGAAGCGACGACTAAGATGGTTGTTGCCGTTTACAGCGAGTTTTTGAGCACGAACTCGAAAGCGCTGTCAGCAAAATCGTATTTGAGTCCTGAATCGCTACAAGGGTTGCTCGGTCGGATCTTGGACGGCAGCCGTCGAACGGCTGATGGGGGGTTGAATCGCGTGATTCAAAGGATCGGAACTCGATCTCAATGCGTCTAGACGGCGAACGCTCAAAGGATTTCCGACGATCAAGATTAAATACAAGTGATGTGTGAATTTTTTTCTATCAATTTGTAATTTTTTAAAGTCTTTTTAATCTCTTCTTCGCAATAAAAATTGAAATCTGAAGATTAACGACTTTTCCTGAAAAATATTAAGGAAAAAAAATGTTTAATGAAATACAACGTGTCAAACTACATTAGG